TTTTCACTCACAACCTTTGAGGTAGGAATATCTTTACCTTTGTATATTTATAATTTAGTTTAAGTGTGTGTAAATCTTATGGTATGCGGGGATATTGAGATGGGTGCTCTCTCTTTCTCTCTATATATAAATGTATATGTATATGTATATGGATTCTTGTTCAAAATTGATGAAGGATTGAGTATCTATCAATGGAAGATAGTGTAAGAAGACACAAATCAAGGAAAATTAATACATAAGAGGAAAAGATGTAAAATTTATTGTGTAACTATTGGCACATAAATTTTAACTAAATTTATGACATGTATAGAGCACTATAATAAGAAGGTTGTAGGCAATCACTTCCTAAAAAGATCAATATGATCCGGTGATATACATAAATAAAACAACGTTGTATCTCAACAACATCATTCAAGATACTCAAGTGACACGTGGAGCCTACGAAAGATGACACCTGTAGAGCCTACAGCAAGGACACTATACAGGATGAAACCCCAAAGATCAATCCGGTTAATAAGATATACGATTAATCAGATAGCGCTATTATTCAAAATTCAAATGGCGTTATCATTCAGTTTGAAATTTAAACTGAAGATGAAGCATTCCTATCGCCTGATGGCCATCCATAAATATGAGGACCATCACACAAGACGGAGGATCAGAAAATCAGAAGTGAAAAGATTAGAGAGAAAGAGAAAGAAATTGAGAGCTAAAGAAGTCGTTACAAGAAAGAAGAAGAGAAGCCTAGAGAACTCAAGAGCCTACGCTAATAGCGATGAATAGGTTTAATACTTATATGGGTGTAAGATTTATATTTATGTGATTATTGTGTAAAATTTTTAGAATTATTAACATTTTTGTAGAGAAAGAAAAGAACAAGGGATCTCAAAAAAAATTATAAAAAATTCTACATAATACATTCTATATAATTATACCAAAAATATTTAGTTTAGTTTTTGAAATGTTTTGTGATTTTTGTTTTTCATATTTTTTGGTCTTCAATAAAATAATTTTATATTTTAATTATTATTATTTTTTTTACTTTTTAGATACACTTAATCTAAATATAATTAAAAAGTGAAATATTTGTGAGAACTTTTTTAAAAATTACTAAATATAAAAAAAAAACACTAAAAGGTATAGAATTTATATATATTTTTATTTAGGAATATGTTTTTTTAGATTTGTTGACAAATAAGTTACTTGCATCTAGATTAATGGATCTATAAAATAAATATATATATTAAATTATAAAAAGTTCACAAAAAATAAAAAATTACAAAACAAAAACTAAAAAATAAAATTTGAGTCTCAAAACTAAATTAAGATTATGCCAAAAGAAATTTAAAAATTTTGGTCATATAATTTGTTGTCTGCTCACTTTGACGACAAATTTCAAGTGTGTTGGAAAAATAGCATGATTGAAAGTGAAAAAAAAAATAAAAATTAAAAGAAGATAAATAATTTTGACATTCCCTATTTTTTAAAAGCAATTTATAAAACAAATCACTAATAAGATCCAAAGTCAAAGAAAGCACAATGAGATGGCTTTTTGTGTCACATCTCTCAGGAAGTGATAAGCATAAAAAGAACTACTACCACAATAAAACAAAAAAAAGACAGATGATGTTGCTTGAGTTTGTGATGAGAACGACCACCACTTTTGCTTAGTGTGGTGAATTTACTAGTCATAATTTTTGGGCACCGAATTCTAAAAAAGGAAAAATTAGAGGTATGATCTTGAAGGTTGACTTGGAGAAGGCCTATGATAATATCTCATGGGAATTCTTAAAGCAGATTTTGAAGGAGTTTGGTTTTGAGGAGAACCTAATTAATCTTATCATGAGTTGTGTCACTACTGTGAGAACTGTCATTTTATGGAATGAATCTCTGCAAAAGTTTAAACCTAAAAAGGGACCGAGGCAGGCAGACCCTCTCTCTCCAAATTTGTTTGTGTTATGTATGGAGAGATTGTCCAACATGATAAGTCACAAAGCTGACAAGAAGAAGTGGAAAGGGATCAGAATTTCTAAAGGGGTCCTTGTCTACCCACCTCTTTTTGGCAGATGATCTCATGCTTTTTGGAAAAGCTGATATGGATAACTGCAACACAATCATGAAGGTCATGAATGAGTTTTGTGAGACTTTTGGACTCAAAATTAATGCTCTTAAATCCAATTGTATGTGTCTCCCAATGTTGACAGGAGGATATCTAGACAGTTGAGTTCCAAATGTGGTATTCCCCTAACTTCTGAGTTAGGAAAATTTCTTGGAGTTCCTCTTATCCATGGGAGGGTGATTAGAGGACATTTCAACAGCATTTTGGAAATAATGCAAAACAAACTTGCTAGTTAGAAGGCTAGGGTGCTATCCATGGAAGGTAGAACTATACTTCTTCAAGCCGTAAGTTCTGCCATACTTGCCTACACCATGCAAACAATTTAATTTCCAAAAAAAGTTTGTGAGGATATTAATAGAGTGAACAGAAACTTTCTTTGGGGTAACACCTAGGAAAGAAGGAAGGTGTATCTTGTGAATTGGGATTTGGTTTACAATCTGAAAAAGAATGGTGGTTTGGGTATAAAGAAAGCAAGGAATCAAAACCTAGCCTTGCCCACTGAACTCGGTTGGAATCTCAGTGATAATAAGAAAGGTCCATGGTGTGATATGCTCAGATGCAAGCATACGGGCCATAATTCTTTATATAATTGGCCTAAAGGAAATAAAGCATCCCATGTGTGGAGAAACATTCTTCATACAAGACTTATTCTCAGGAAATGGGTTAAATAGAAAGTTAGTGCTGGCACTGAAGGATTGGTGGTGTGGACACATCATTTGAGAACATTATGTCTAACACACATCCATGTATGGATGCCATCATGCCAATATTGGCAATGTGAGTGATTTTTTGAATGAAAATGGGGATTGGGATGCTAGAAAAATTAGCAATATGGTGCCCCATAACATCACTTCAATTATTTTGAATAATAACCCCCCTCCCAACAGAGATTTGGACAGTCCTCAGTGGAAGGGGTCTCATATTGGTAACTTTTCTACATCCTCTGCCCATGAGATTGCCATAGGTAATCAGGACTGTGATGAGGACTGGAATTGGCTTTGGAAACTGAGACTTCCTTAGAAAATTAAAGGGTTCATGTGGGTTGTGCGTCATGGAAAACTATTAACAAATAAGATGAGTATGAAAAGAGGTTTGCCCATTGACCCTAGTTGTCCCAGATGTAGAGGGGTAGAGGACTTGAACCACCTTTTTAGAGATTGTTATAAAGCTAAAGAGGTGTGGTTGGCCTTATGTGGCAAACAATGATACCTTGACATGCTTAGAAAACCTTGGTTGCAATGGATCATGTTCAACTCAAAAAATAAAAAAACATTTTAATGAACATATCACTTGGTTTACTCACTACAAGAAATTGTACTTTTGGCGACTAAATTTTTAGTCGCCAAAAGTCATATTTTTAGTCGCCAAAAGGTTTTCCCGACAAAATAGTTTGGTCGCCAACTTGGTCGTGGAAAGACGGCCAGCGAAGGTAAAAGCTTTCAAAAAAAAATTTTATTGCATTTTCAGCGACTAAAACATTTGGTCGCCAAATCTAAATTTATTTTCCACGACTAATTTATTTAGTAGCCAAAATTTTTTTTGTTCATCTCATTTTTTTAGCTACTAAATGTTTTAGTCGCCTAAAGTGTAATTCTTTTTAACTACTAAAAATTTAGTCACCTAAAGTCTATTTTTTTATTTTGCTACTAAAATTTTAGTAGCCAAAAGCATTTTTTTCAATTTATTCTTTATTTAGCTACTAACTATTTAGTCGTTAAAAATATTTACTTCTTTTTTGGCTACTAATTATTTAGTAGCCAAAAACATGATATTATTTTTTTTTTAATTTCACTACAAGAATTCGCACTTTTGCCGACTAAAAATTTAGTCAGCAAAAGTCCATTTTTAGTCTGCAAAAGTTATCCGCGACTAATTTTTTTGGTCACCACTTTGGTCGCCAATTGAGGGTCGCGGAAAGCAATTAGCGACTAAAATGTTTTTTAATCGCGAAAAAGTTATATTTGCCGACTAAATTTTTGGTCGCTAAATATATAATTACTGCGACTAATCTATTTAGTAGCTAAAACACGTTAGCCGCGAAAAGTCATATTTCCCCGACCAAACATATTAGTCGCCAATTCGCACATTCAACGACCAAATAGTTTGGTCGGCAATTGTGGCTCATTTCCACAACCAACAAATTTGGTCGCCAATTGTCACATTCCACAACCAAAAAGTTTGGTCGGCAATACATTTCACGACCAAAAAGTCATATTTGCCGACTAAAAATTTGGTCGGCAAAAGTTATCCGCGACCAAATTTTTTTGTCGCCACTTTAGTCGCCAATTGAGGGCCGGCAAAAGTAATTAGCGACCAAAACTTTTTTCAGTCGGGAAAAAATTAGATTTGCCGACTAAATTTTTGATCGCTAAATATATAATTACTGCGACTAATCCATTTAGTCGCTAAAACACTTTAGTCGCGAAAAGTGACATATTCCCGACCAAACATGTTAGTCGCCAATTGCCACATTCCACGGCCATACATGTTAGTTGCCAAAAGTCACAATCCACAACCAATAGATTAGTCGCCAAAAGTCACATTCCATGACCAAATATGTTAATCGCCAAAAGTAATGCTTGCGCAACTAAAAGTTTAGTCGGCAATAGACCTATTCGCGACCAAACTCTTTAGTTGCCAAAATCATCAATTTTACCGACTAATTATTTAGTCGCCAGATGTACCCTTTTGCCTACCAACATTTTGGCTGGCAAAACCACAATTTGGTCGCCCACATCTAATAAAATAAACCTGTAATTGAAGACAAATATTCCATCAAATCCATTCAATATAACCTGTAATTAAAAAGAATCATTCATACCAACAAAGTATCTGAATCATGAACATTCAATGAAATACAAAAATTATACAATCCTTAACCTGTTTAATAAAAGTCGGCAATTATTATAAATTTTCATCCACAAATAATTCCAAAGTACATATTTCTCCAATTAAAATTTTGATTCACATCCATCTAGTATAAAAATTTAAAACATAACAAGTACTTGTTATTATGTTTTAAATTTTTATCCATGCGCATCAATCTAAAAATATAATTACTAGTCTACCCAAATATTTTTCATACACATCTATCCAAAAATATATAATCCTTGAAAAAATGTAACAAGTGCCAACTAGTCCTGTACAATTCAACTTGTTACACGAGTTCATCCATCTGTACAGAAGAAAAAGGTAAAAAAATGTCAGGTAATGTTTCTATGAAAATATTTGCACATCAAATGATTGTAAAATTGGACAAAAAAATAAAAAGTTTCATGGAAACTAAAGGTAACATGAACAAGAAACAAATTGTAGAAATTTCATTTAGTTTGGTGTTACACCAGAATAGGGCAAAAAATGTCCAAGCAGACTTTAGTTAATAATAAATTAATAATCATGGTCACCCTGTCCTGTTTTAGGAAGTGACCATAATCAGGGTTTGTAATCTATTACTCTAGTATCACCTACAAGAATTTAGTTGTTGCGGGGGAGGGGTGACACTAACATGGCATATGAGAGGGATTTGTGCAGTTAGGGGTATGAATCTTATATCTATCAAAAAAACTAACAAATATTTTTTCAAACATATGAACAAAGCAGACATTTATTAAAAAAATTGTTCTTTTAAAGTAAATAAAGAATCATAGCAACTTTGAATTTAGACCAGCAGAACATGTAATAGATCATTAAAAAGGTATCTGACAGTGGACCATCAATTATTCCAAAGTATAAGTACAAACCAAAAAACAGCTTCAAGCCTTATCCTATGCGAACACTGATTTTAGAACCCATGTATTGAGGTTGTTACTAGCATTCCTATTAGTAATTTAGGTTTAAGGACATACCTCCACTACAGAAGTTCGTTTTGCCTCCAAAGTTAAGCAATGAACAACAGCATTCCATTTTCTGGAAAAGTTATCAGGGACACAAAGCCGCCTATAATACTACTGCATCTGATGGAGAGGAGCTGAGAAAACATGAATGCCATTAGTTTGACAATCCAAAAAACCAAAAAACAAGCATAGAATTACTTGAAACATAAATAATAAGTTAAAAAAACATTAATGCTGCCGCTGCTGCTCACATTAAGGACACAATAATTTTAATATATGTGAAGAAACTTTTAATGCAGCATTCCATGGGATGAGTGCAACATCCTTCACAAATATATATATATATATATGTGTGTGTGTGTGTGTGTGCTGCAATGCTGCTCAATGTGTATTGTTATATATATAGAGAGAGAGAGAGACAAATCATTTTGAACCATCAAAGAGGCGATTCATGCATAATATATGATTTGAAATAAGCTCATAAACTAAAATCATGTAATGCATCAGCTAAATCATAGAACTAACTATAATACTTGTGTACAACTGTTACTACATAAAGAAGAAAATTACCAATTGTATCACATTCATGCACTAAGCAATTGAAATTTAAAGATCAAAACAATAACAATCATTGTTTTTATCTACAATTCTCCATAACTGTACAAACCTGTTAGACATGTCAGATCAAAACAATATCAGATCTTTTTCTTCTTTTTTATTTTTTTGAGAAAGTTATAAAGCAGTTACAAAGGACATTTCAGATCTAAATATCACTCCATTTTTTTTTATGACCCTTGATTTTCATTTATGGGAAAAAAGGGGTAGCAATTTTGAACTGGAATCAAATGCAACAATGCTGCAAATATAGGAACCGGTACTTTCAGCAGAGCATTGCAAATCACTATTGTAACGCCCTCAAAATAATAACATTAAACCCATTAATATAGACATGCATTGATATATAAAAGCTCCACATTCTTCTATTTTTTATATTCATTATGATCATTAAATAATTATTAAAATAATTAGTACAGCCACATGAAGAAGCAACCAATAATTGCATTGAACATGTAAATTAACTAGTACAAATTAACTACTGCAGTTAGCATGGATAACAGAGGCTATCTCAACAGTATCCTAAACAACATATGCAAGCGAAACACAAAGAAATGGAGGTTAGTTTACACTACGAGAAAGCAATCTGATTTCAAGGTGATGTATAAAGTGGTGGATATCCTTGGAAAGGCAAAGAGCTAATACCAATATCCATCCAACAAAAATCAACCAAAACAATCACCAGATTTATTAGCATTTATCAATAAACCTATTTAACATATTTCGGATTTAACTCCATCTATGTACAGTGCATGTGGTGGATATTTTGAAGGGCAATCTTGACTCCAAAAGGCAAGCATGGAATTAAGAAACTTAATGCAATAATAGAACATGCCAGAGAAACTTATGGACCTGTGGTAAAGTAACTCAAACATGGACCTGTGGTAATAGGCATTGAGAAATTTAACCAAACAATTGGTGGCCATGTCCTCAAACATGGACATGTGGTAAAGTAACTCAAAGATGCAACATAAATTAAAATCTTTCACCTCAAAATCTGCACTATTCATGCATTGTTAAAATCCACCTACTCTCCACCTACTTCACCCACTTAAACCTACTCCACTAAACCTAACCCACTACACCACTACCACCTCCACTTCACCTACTCCTTACCTACTACAACCCTCTTCTATATATAGGAATCATGAATCATTGTAATTTATATCAATAAACATCAATCAATAATACATAAATTTTTTACACAAATGAAGCTTGGATCAATGCTAAGCATATCGTAAGGCGTTTAAGCAAACACTTCCATGTGAGAAATCAACAAGTTCACAATTTCCAACCGTTCTTTGCTAGACAAAGACGATTCTAGCAGAAAGAACTTGCTCGGATCATTTTCATCAATGCGGACCTCCACTAAGTCCTCCACAGCCTTCTCTTTGGCTTTCCTACCAACATCGTCCAAGACTTCTTTATCCTCCAGTCCTTCAATCATCTAGATGAAACCTTTAGCAGCTCGGTTGTCGTTCACCTCCACGAAGCATTGCTTCGACATGACTTGGTCTCCCCAGACTAACTCTATCACCCCGACTGCTGAAGGGAAGCGCATCACTTGATAGTAAGTTGATGCCACTGCTTGCACAGCGTGCAACAATCCTCGCCTAAGGATTAGGTTGTAGGTGGAAAGCACCTTCAGCATCCAAAACTCAACTTGCTTGGTGACCAAGCCAGCTTTGACCGGCAATATGATTTTGCCCAACGGCCATTCCGGTTGCGAATTAAAGTCGACCAAAGGAGAAGTTGTTGGTGCCAAGTCTTTATCCTCTAACTTCAGCTGCTTGAAGGCATCAGAGTGCATTATCTCAACCGAACTGCCTTAGTCAATCAAAATCCTTTTGATGTTGAAGTCTTTGACGTGCAAGATGACAACTAGCGCGTTGTTGTGAGGAGTTTGGATCCTCTCTAAGTCTTTGCTTGAAAAAGTCATCACATCTTTTACCTCAGTTCTTCCTTTCTTGATGGTCGGTTGGACGGACAACACCTCCCTCATGTGTCTCGCTTTTTTAAGCATCCCCATGAGTTCGCATACCTGTGTTGGCTCAATGATCCCATGGATCACATTGATAATTCCTTAGGGAGAGTATCTAGGATAGCCAGGCCATTAGGCTCGGCCTACACTTGCAGCACCGCCCTTACGCCGCCGTCGATGTGTTGATCTAAGTGTCCTGCTGCCACTAATTCTTCCAAGTGCTATTTCAAAGGCACGCAATCTTTTGTGTGGTGCCCCCTCTCATTGTGGTAAGTGTAGCGGTATCTCAAATTGAACCCCCTCTGAGCATCCTCTAGCTTGGCTGGCTGTCTAACATATACCTCGTCACAGATTTCACTAAGGATGCGATAGATCGGTATGTTGAAAACCGTAGTGATGCTGGTCCGCGCTTTCAAATTTTTTTTGGCACTGTCCACATCATTGCGGGGATTGCTAGCCCGATCATTGTTACAATTAGAGGTGCTCGCGGTTTGGTTTTGAACGGTTCAGTTTGCAGTTTGGATCTGCCCACATACATGCGGTTTGGGAAAAATTGATCCCGCAACCGCCCGTAGTGCGGGTTGCGGTTTGTGCTGATGGGGTTTGCGGATGTGTGGGAGGGTTGCGGGTGATTTGCGGATTGGACTTTTTAAAAAAAAAAAAAAATTTGAGCCTTTTTTTTTTCCCGTTTTATAAATATTTATTTTGGGCCTTTTCCCTCAATTTTCTAAAATGCTCAACATTAATAATTGTTAGAATTCAATGTATAAAAAGAAATAGAGAATTGTATTATTGATTGTTGTATTGATATATTACAATGATTCCTATATATAGAAGAGAGGATGTGGGAAGAGAATAGGTGAGTGTGTAGTAGGTATGGAGTAGGTGAGGAGTAGGTGGAGAGTAGGTGAAGTAGGTGAGTGTGTAGTAGGTGGTAGTGGTAGGTGTGTAGTAGGTGAATTTTAACAGCCCCCCGCAAACTCAAGGGGGATAGGAACAACCAACTTGAGTTTGGAGAGAGTTACAAAACAAGAAAATAAACGAATACATAAAAAAAAAGAGGATAGGAGACACTGTATGGTCGTGTCAGACCATTGGTGAAGACACTGGATGGTTGTGTCATAACGTTGTAGAGGACACTGTATGGGGGTGTCATAACGTTGTAGAGGACACTGTATGGGGGTGTCATAACGTTGTAGAGGACACTGTATGGGGGTGTCATAACGTTGTAGAGGACACTGTATGGGGGTGTCATAACGTTGTAGAGGACACTGTATGGGGGTGTCATAACGTTGTAGAGGACACTGTATGGGGGTGTCATAACGTTGTAGAGGACACTGTATGGGGGTGTCATAACGTTGTAGAGGACACTGTATGGGGGTGTCATAACGTTGTAGAGGACACTGTATGGGGGTGTCATAACGTTGTAGAGGACACTGTATGGGGGTGTCATAACGTTGTAGAGGACACTGTATGGGGGTGTCATAACGTTGTAGAGGACACTGTATGGGGGTGTCATAACGTTGTAGAGGACACTGTATGGGGGTGTCATAACGTTGTAGAGGACACTGTATGGGGGTGTCATAACGTTGTAGAGGACACTGTATGGGGGTGTCATAACGTTGTAGAGGACACTGTATGGGGGTGTCATAACGTTGTAGAGGACACTGTATGGGGGTGTCATAACGTTGTAGAGGACACTGTATGGGGGTGTCATAACGTTGTAGAGGACACTGTATGGGGGTGTCATAACGTTGTAGAGGACACTGTATGGGGGTGTCATAACGTTGTAGAGGACACTGTATGGGGGTGTCATAACGTTGTAGAGGACACTGTATGGGGGTGTCATAACGTTGTAGAGGACACTGTATGGGGGTGTCATAACGTTGTAGAGGACACTGTATGGGGGTGTCATAACGTTGTAGAGGACACTGTATGGGGGTGTCATAACGTTGTAGAGGACACTGTATGGGGGTGTCATAACGTTGTAGAGGACACTGTATGGGGGTGTCATAACGTTGTAGAGGACACTGTATGGGGGTGTCATAACGTTGTAGAGGACACTGTATGGCGGTGTCAGACCGATGTAGAAGACAGTTTATGGGGTCATGTCGGACCGTTGTAGAAGACAGTTTATGGGGTCATGTCGGACCGTTGTAGAAGACAGTTTATGGGGTCATGTCGGACCGTTGTAGAAGACAGTTTATGGGGTCATGTCGGACCGTTGTAGAAGACAGTTTATGGGGTCATGTCGGACCGTTGTAGAAGACAGTTTATGGGGTCATGTCGGACCGTTGTAGAAGACAGTTTATGGGGTCATGTCGGACCGTTGTAGAAGACAGTTTATGGGGTCATGTCGGACCGTTGTAGAAGACAGTTTATGGGGTCATGTCGGACCGTTGTAGAAGACAGTTTATGGGGTCATGTCGGACCGTTGTAGAAGACAGTTTATGGGGTCATGTCGGACCGTTGTAGAAGACAGTTTATGGGGTCATGTCGGACCGTTGTAGAAGACAGTTTATGGGGTCATGTCGGACCGTTGTAGAAGACAGTTTATGGGGTCATGTCGGACCGTTGTAGAAGACAGTTTATGGGGTCATGTCGGACCGTTGTAGAAGACAGTTTATGGGGTCATGTCGGACCGTTGTAGAAGACAGTTTATGGGGTCATGTCGGACCGTTGTAGAAGACAGTTTATGGGGTCATGTCGGACCGTTGTAGAAGACAGTTTATGGGGTCATGTCGGACCGTTGTAGAAGACAGTTTATGGGGTCATGTCGGACCGTTGTAGAAGACAGTTTATGGGGTCATGTCGGACCGTTGTAGAAGACAGTTTATGGGGTCATGTCGGACCGTTGTAGAAGACAGTTTATGGGGTCATGTCGGACCGTTGTAGAAGACAGTTTATGGGGTCATGTCGGACCGTTGTAGAAGACAGTTTATGGGGTCATGTCGGACCGTTGTAGAAGACAGTTTATGGGGTCATGTCGGACCGTTGTAGAAGACAGTTTATGGGGTCATGTCGGACCGTTGTAGAAGACAGTTTATGGGGTCATGTCGGACCGTTGTAGAAGACAGTTTATGGGGTCATGTCGGACCGTTGTAGAAGACAGTTTATGGGGTCATGTCGGACCGTTGTAGAAGACAGTTTATGGGGTCATGTCGGACCGTTGTAGAAGACAGTTTATGGGGTCATGTCGGACCGTTGTAGAAGACAGTTTATGGGGTCATGTCGGACCGTTGTAGAAGACAGTTTATGGGGTCATGTCGGACCGTTGTAGAAGACAGTTTATGGGGTCATGTCGGACCGTTGTAGAAGACAGTTTATGGGGTCATGTCGGACCGTTGTAGAAGACAGTTTATGGGGTCATGTCGGACCGTTGTAGAAGACAGTTTATGGGGTCATGTCGGACCGTTGTAGAAGACAGTTTATGGGGTCATGTCGGACCGTTGTAGAAGACAGTTTATGGGGTCATGTCGGACCGTTGTAGAAGACAGTTTATGGGGTCATGTCGGACCGTTGTAGAAGACAGTTTATGGGGTCATGTCGGACCGTTGTAGAAGACAGTTTATGGGGTCATGTCGGACCGTTGTAGAAGACAGTTTATGGGGTCATGTCGGACCGTTGTAGAAGACAGTTTATGGGGTCATGTCGGACCGTTGTAGAAGACAGTTTATGGGGTCATGTCGGACCGTTGTAGAAGACAGTTTATGGGGTCATGTCGGACCGTTGTAGAAGACAGTTTATGGGGTCATGTCGGACCGTTGTAGAAGACAGTTTATGGGGTCATGTCGGACCGTTGTAGAAGACAGTTTATGGGGTCATGTCGGACCGTTGTAGAAGACAGTTTATGGGGTCATGTCGGACCGTTGTAGAAGACAGTTTATGGGGTCATGTCGGACCGTTGTAGAAGACAGTTTATGGGGTCATGTCGGACCGTTGTAGAAGACAGTTTATGGGGTCATGTCGGACCGTTGTAGAAGACAGTTTATGGGGTCATGTCGGACCGTTGTAGAAGACAATTCTCCAAACAGCAGGCCACAGTCATGGCCCAGCAGGCTGAGCTGATCGCCAGACTGCAACAACAGAATACAGCATCTGCTTCACACCAAATCCCTCCTCCGGCAGGGGCTCCATTACCTGAGCAGGCACCTACTGTTCAGAACGCCCCACCAAATGCCCAGAATACCCTACCAAATGTCCAAAAAGCGTCCTTGCATGCGTGTGAGTGAATGCCATGATAGCATGCTTACCATGAGGCTATGTGCTTATCTGTGTGATATAACTGCTTAAATGCCTGTGGATGAAGGTTGGGTTACTTCAATTGGAGTAAAACATCAAATGTTTCAAAGCCTACCTGCGGATAGCAAACCATTTTCAAAAACAAACATGAAATGTTTCGTTCCAATTCAGGCGACCCGATCTATATTTGTATGCTGTGCGCATCACATAGTAACCTAGGCTAATAAACCGGAATAAGAACTCACAATGTTTTCAAAAATTGATATCATGGTTAGTAGAGGCCGGTCTATGACCGGGCGAGCGGGGGTGCTCACGAAGTGACCTTCCCCAATCGTACCCAAGTTCCCGAGCCGAGGCAACTTTGGTGATGACGGACACGTGGCCTTTTGGCACCGAGTCAGGGTTTCCTAAATTTCCCAAAATAAAATATTTAGGTGGCGACTCTGTATCTGGCAAAGCAGTCCATGTTTGGCACTTCTTTCAAAAATCAGTTTTCTAAAAGCGATTTGCCGGATTTGGACTCTTTGGTTCAGATTAGGAACCGTGACTACAAAGTCGAGTCCGAGCTGTAGCGAGGTCCCCCGCGGGCTTGTTACACATAGCAACTTTGAATTTAGACCAGCAGAACATGTAATAGATCATTAAGAAGGTATCTGACAGTGGTCCATCAATTATCCCAAAGTATAAGTACAAACCAAAAAATAGCTTCAAGCCTTATCCTATGCGAACATTGATTTTAGAACCCATGTATTGAGGTTGTTACTAGCATTCCTATCAGTAATTTAGGTTTAAGGACATACCTCCACTACAGAAGTTCGTTTTGCCTCCAAAGTTAAGCAATGAACAACAGCATTCCATTTTCTGGAAAAGTTATCAGGGACGCAAAGCCGCCTATAATACTACTGCATCTGATGGAGAGGAGCTGAGAAAACATGAATGCCATTAGTTTGACAATCCAAAAAACCAAAAAACAAGCATAGAATTACTTGAAACATAAATAATAATAGTTAAAAAAACATTAATGCTGCTGCTGCTGCTCACATTAAGGAGACAATAATTTTAATATATGTGAAGAGACTTTTAATGCAGCATTCCATGGGATGAGTGCAACATCCTTCACAAATATATATATATATATATGTGTGTGTGTGTGTGTGTGTGTGCTGCAATGCTGCTCAATGTGTATTGTTATATATATAGAGAGAGAGAGAGACAAATCATTTTGAACCATCAAAGAGGCGATTCATGCACATCAATCAATAATACATAAATTTTTACATGCATAATATATGATTTGAAATAAGCTCATAAACTAAAATCATGTAATGCATCAGCTAAATCATAGAACTAATTATAATACTTGTGTACAACTGTTACTACATAAAGAAGAAAATTACCAATTGTATCACATTTATGCACTAAGCAATTGAAATTTAAAGATCAAAACAATAACAATCATTGTTTTTATCTACAGTTCTCCATAACTGTACAAACCTGTTAGACATGTCAGATCAAAACAATATCAGATCTTTTTCTTCTTCTTTTTTTTTTTTTTTTTTTTTTTTTTTTTTTTTTTTTTTGAGAAAGTTATAAAGCAGTTGCAAAAGACATTTCAGATCTAAATCTCACTCCATTTTTTTTTATGACCCTTGATTTTCATTTATGGGGAAAAAAGGGGTAGTAATTTTGAACTGGAATCAAATGCAACAATACTGCAAATATAGGAACCAGTACTTTCAGCAGAGCATTGCAAATCACTATAAAATTTTTAAGCAAGTTTAAGTTGGAGTATTGAACATTAGTTTCATGGATCCATTCACAATCAACACACAATTAGTCAGCACAAACAAATGACATTCAAAGCCCACCTCCTCCGGGTGAAGATAATGACTGGTCAGCTTGAAAGATGTTTAGGACTCATCTATCTGGTCCTGCACAAAGACCACAGAAAATTAAAGTTAAATCTTCAATCAGCCTAGTTCTGCAAAAGACATGTCAGATCTTGAACATTATGGCATTGTGCCCTGTCACTGGAATCAAATGGTGGGTGATTCATGTTTCCTAATTAATGATAAGTTACTTCATTTTCTGCTGCTTCTTGTTCTCTTTTAATTGAATCCTTCTTTTCGTAGATGTAGACTCCTTGACAACTGACGATGCTGCTTCTCTTGTTGGATCATCTGGAAATAAGCATCAATATTGCTATGAGTGTACTCAATTAGAGGCTTTAATGCCTTCATTGAAAATTGGTACGTATGTTATGGAGATTTTCACAATGGGGCACTTCTGTTTGTTGTCCTTATATTTTTCAGTTACCGTTTTCCTTCGGTGACTCAGATTTTTTTTATACTGTAAGAATATTATAAGTTGATGTACTGTACTAATGAGTATGATGACAATTTGCTACTTTTGAATTTTTAAATGCTTTACCTCTAATGTTTTTTTGGTGCTTCCTGTGTACTGTTATTTTCAAGTAAAGTGAAAGGCATGAGTTTGTTATACTATTTAACTCATAATTAGATAAAAGTTCAATTGTTAATTATACTTTTCTTTTGTACATCATTGTGCTTTAACCACTGCTCATCTTCACTCATTTGCAGTATTCATTTAGTACTGGGTCTACGTATAAGGCTATAACTATAAGCTCACTATTGATGTGTCTAATACCATATGATACGATATTGAATACCGCTTCATTAAATAAAATAAAAATATAGTCCTCCCAACCACCAGCACCAGCACAAGGGAGAGAGAGAGCTTACTTGGTACTCAGTTAAGAGAAGAAAAATCGGCTTATAGAAATGTATGTCTAGTACATCACATCTAGAATTTACATTTAATAATGTCTAACAGTACCCAAAAAGAAAAAAGGAAAAAAAGTTGCAATTTCTATCTAAATGTCCCTAATGTTGCATGTGCTAAAGGTTTGAGTATTCACTTTAAGGTCCATCTGGTAGGAGGGAGAGTGAGGGAAATGAAAGATTTCATTATTTGGATGGAAGGAAAGGGGAAAGGGGAAAGGGAGGAGGGTTTACAAGGAAAGCTGAGGGGAAAGGAAAAGAGGGGCAAGGATCTTTCTGTTTGAGTTTACCATATGCGTTACCCTCAAAAGTGGGTGGAAAGAGGAGGGAACCATGCTCCCTTCCCCTCTTACCTCTCCTGTTTGTGCCTTGTGGTAAACAATCTTCCTATAATGATACCCCACTTTAATTATTCGGCTCACAATAATGAGTCGAATCAAGTTCAAGTAGATACTTGAATAAATCTTCATGTAACTTGCACTTGTCATTCAAGACAATAAACATTTATTCAAGTAGATATTTTTAACTTTAATGCTGAATTCAGTTTCATGGAAACATTTATTCACCAACTAGCCAATTTATATAATGCTGGATTTAGGTCTATGTTCCATCTTCTATTAGTACTACTAACAAACAATCATATCATATTTCGATCATCCTCGAAGCCATTAAGACGTCAGAACATAACAGGTTCCCATGAAATCAGTGCCAATCAATTAATACAAGCACCAAGCCTCCGAAATGAAAACAGTTCCACAATCTATAAGCAGTATTCTCCAATATTTCCAAACAAATCATAATTAGTAACATTGATACACAATAGTATCAGAAACTTGCGGAATGCAAAGTTTTCTTCACTATATGGTGGTGACTTATATATTAGACATTTAAATAACGTCAAAGCCTATATTAAGAATAGTTTACAAAGCCTATCATGGATACCATTGCTAATACAAATAGCTAAAACACGTTTTCTTCCTTCTCCTCTTCACATAAGCACAATCCAAAGAAACAGACTAGCATTAAATTTTCTTTTTCAAGAACAAACTTCATTTCATGAATTCCAACAAGTAAATATAAAGTAAGAAATTGTTCAGAAATTCAATGCAATAAATCAAAATACATGAGTTTCTTACTGCAGAATGCAATCAGAAGAAAACTGGAATGGTAAACTGGAATGGGAAACTGGAATGGTAGCTATAAATTCAGAAGAAAACTAACATATCCTTTCCTTTGACCATAGACAACATCAGGTTCTATTTTAGTGCGACCTTCTGAAGGTTTTGTTTCAAAACATGATGGAACCCTGTACATCCATCAAGCCTATAAGCTCTGAGATAGAGAAAAATAAAAGAGAATGATTGAGAAAACACTTGATAATTAGGAAATATTTATAGAAGAGGTAAGGTGTGAAGGTATTGACTAGTGACAATATCCCTGTAAGCAAAATCTGGAGCTGCTAGAGTCGGCTTCTCTAGAAAGATCAAAATTGAACTTAAGTAAATCTCAGAAGTTGAAGATAAACTGCTGAAGAGATGACACTACAACAATGGCAACAAGTTAGTCTGAATCTGAAAAATATTTGGTTGAAGTAGGGGTAATACAAATCAAATACAAATCAAATCAATTCTAAAGTTGAATTAAAACACAAACTATTGAAAACAAATTCAAATCCGGATTGCTACAGTATAGCTAAGAAAAAAAAAACAGGCCACTGCTCAGGGATAATAACAGGGATAATAAAAACAGTGCATTTTCTCAGGGATAAAAAAAAAACAGGCCACTGCTCAGGGGTAATACAAACCAAATTCAAATTCAAATCCGGATTGTTACCTTAGTACCAGGGGCTGCTTGGCGGATCTCCTCCTCAGGGATAATAACAGGCCACTGCTCACCAGCGTCGCAAAACATTTGCTCGGTCTCGAGAAGCTGACCCTTGTCGAGAATCATGGTCCTGCTGGTTGCTCGTCCAAACCAAAATTTGCCGCTCGTCGCTCGCCTCCGTGAGAGAGAGAGAGAGACTGTTGTTTCGAAACTTAGGGCTTTGCAAACCTGAAAGGAAATGA